GTTCTCTTCTTTCTTTACTATAAACTTCTAGTTTACTTTATTTTTCTACTTAACCTTTTTATTTTCTTTACTAATAAACTTCTACGCTACTTTATTCTCTTTCTCTTTACCTACACTATTATTATTATTGTTATTACTAAGAATAGGTAAACTACTCTTATTATTATTATTATTAATAATAGGTAGAGCATTATCTATCTTAGTATTCTTATTCTTATTCTTAGCTAATGCTATAGAGGCAATAACTATAGGTAGAGGTAGAAGCGTAATAGTAGAATAACACTAAAAAAGCTATAGACAAAGGTTGTAGTTATAACGTTAGTAAAGAACCTACACTAACTAACCTTACGCGTTAGGTACTATACTATATACTAGTTAGTATAGATATTATATTAATACTATTAGAAAACCTACTAGTACCTATAAAAAGTACTTTATAGCAAACTAGCTATAGTAGTAAGGTATTAAGCCTTATTAGTTACTACTATATAGTAGTGTACAAAGCGCGTAGGTACTTATATTATAATAAGTGTTATAAGTATTTATTAAAGGTTTAAAAAGGCTAAAAAGATTTGCTATATTCTAGCGCCTGCGTCTATTTACTACTAAGGCTAATTTTATAGTAAATTACTAGACGCTGTCTATATATAAATATCTACTACCTTCTACTAACTACTATAAACTACTAGGCTAATAGAATAGTAGCTTCTAGACTCTAAACTAGAAAGAACGTATTACTTAGCTATCTAGGCTGCGTTAGCAGAGTAAAAGTAAAAGAGTAATAGATATTCTATTAGTAAGTAGAAGTATATTTAATAGTTCTGTAGTCTTATATAAACTTATAGAAACTTATAGGCTAATAGAATAATAGACTTTAGACTCTCTACTAAAAGGCAAGGTAATATAGCTATCTATACTATAATAGAAAGATAAAAGAGAAGGTACGTATTATATAATAATAATAACTAACTATACATTTAGATCTTCTATAATCTTATGTAAACTTCTAGAAATCTCTAAGTAAATAAGAATAATAGCAGCTAATTAATATGTAGAGTCTATCTATCTAACTATAATACTAGCTTACTTTACTACTCTAATATCTTCTATACGCTCTTGCTCTTATCTATTAGTTTTTACTTACGTCTACTCTATAATATTACTAATATCTTAATAGCGTAACTAGAAGTTACTATTACTATCTCTACTACTTTATTTAGACTAGTAGCCTATCTCTTACGCAACGCTAGTTATAGTGTATATACTATATTATAGCTATCTTAACTCTTTAATCTAAGTGTATAACGTCTTACTACTATATAAGAACTTAGAGTACTAGCTACGCTAGCAAGAAATAAGAAAGATACTAGACTAGTAGTAGATATAGTCTAACTTACGTTTTCGCGAATTTAAGACACTATTAGCAAAAGTATTAAATTAGATTTGCAATAGATGCGCACTAAATAGTCTACTATAACCTAGAGACTAGCGTCTTATAAGACTAGAGCTATAATACTACTATTTAGACTATTAATAAACGCTTTAACTTAGACCTACGCGTTTATTCTTATAACACTAGTAGCTATATTATTATCTATACACTAGTCTAGTAAAGGTAGATGCGCAGATAACTAAGATTCTAATAGTATACTCTAAGTTCTTATTATTCTTAACTATCTTCTATTATTTAGAAGTGTACTATACTCTACTTAAGAAGCATTTAGTATATTACATAGTTAATATAGTAATAGTGCTGCCTTACTATCTACGTTGTAATACTACTATATATATAGAGATAGTATCTAGTTAATACTATCTAGAAAAGCTAGGTCTTTATTAGCTCTAGTATCTATATCTACTAATATATTACTAACCTAGATACGCGTAACCTAGTCTATATATACACCTAATAGTATAGAAAATTATTAATTCTCTTTATATAAGAGTACTATTACCTGCTACACTATAAATACTCTAATCTAAGTATATATTAGGTTAGCAAGCGTACCTCTATAAGGCTCTATAGAGCTAATAGAGATATTAGAAGCTTCTTTAATCTACTACTTTAGTTACTAAGTACACTTAGAATAGTAGGTCTCTAGCGCTATATAAGGTTACTAGTCTGTAGGTATAGTGTATTTACCTAGCTACTTAAGAAACCTATAATAGTAATAGCTATTGCTTATAACCTTTAGCTAAGATAGTAGTATATTTACCTACCTTTATCTATTAGTTTTAGACTAGAACTTATAACTATTTTTAAATAACCTTATCTAAGACACTACCTTATTATCTATAGACTAAGACGTAGATAGGCTAATAGATATATTAATATTACTAGGCGTTACTATCTATAAGAGTCTACTAGCTACGCGTAAAGATAGAAGCTAATAATAAGACTATTATACTTAAGCTAGAAGCTTTAGCTTTAGAACTACTATAATATCTAGTTAATTAACTTTATTATAGTTAAAGAGCTAGTATAGAAGAAAGATAAATGCTTAGCTAGTGTATCTAGCGCCTCTCTCTCTATAACTAATTTACTACTATAAGTCTATAATACTCTTAGTAATTAGTATATTCTACGTTATAACTCTTATAATATCTAGTAAGTTTATACCTATTTTAAGAGACGTTATTACAAAGATAATATAGATATAAGAAGTAGAATACTTAAACTTATTATACGTTACGTCTTTATTATACTACGTAATATAAGTAGTATACGTCTTAACTACGTTAAATACGCACTAATTTCTAGCTAATAGGTTAGTGCTATAGTATTAATTATCTAGAAAGTTCTTTATTATATATATAAGTATTGTTATAGCCTATTCTATAGCGTTCTAAAGTTAGATTCTTCTATTAATAAAGATAATTATCTTAGACTATGTTATAGGTGTAGCAGCCTCTCTAGTTATAGATAGTAGTAGTAAGAAGAAAAGAAGATTCTATAATATAGACTTACTAAGTAGTATCTCTATAATAGTTATAGACGCGTTAGGCCTATTAATAGTTATTTAAATTAACTTAGTCTTATAAGTATTACGCTCTAGATAGTAGAAACTAGTAGTGTCTAATACCTACTTAGTAGAGTTAAGATCTAACATAGCTAAATAACTAAACTAATTAATATTCTGCGTAAGAATGCTGTAGAGTTTACTTAGCTACATAAAAGTAGAATAGAATACTTTCTACTAGATAATAAGATAGCACTTGTTAATTATAATAATTCTAATCTGCGACTAGAAGGTTATGTCTCTTAACGTAGTCTAGAAGATATAACTAGATACCTACTTAGGCTCTATTAATATATAAGTATACTTACTATAGATAATCTTATTAATAAGCTTATAAAACTAAGTATAAGTTCTTATATTAACTAAGTAAGGTCTTACGCTGTTAAGACAACGTATATTACTAAGCTACTTATTCTCTAGCTTAGAGAGTAGTATTAACTATAGTATAATCTTTCTAGTTAATACTAAATACGCGTAGAAGATAAGGCTCTTGCTAAAGCTAGTTATAGTAATTAATAATATGTTGCCTCTTATATAGATAAGACGCTAAAGAGTGTACATCTACTTATTATGTAGTTTAAGTGCCTTACTACTATAACTATAAGATAGTACACGCCTTAGATAATACTAAATAACCTACTCTTACAATACTATATATTATTTCTATCTTACGTTCTCTACTAGTAGAGAAAGTTTCTCTAATTTTATATTTAGAATTATAGTAATATATTAATTAATTAGAAGCGCAGCTTACCTAATTACTATACACTTAGGCGCAGTAATAGCGCAACTCTAGTGCTATTTACTACGTTTATCTACTTTTTACTTTATCTTATACTTTACTATAGCTACTCTATAGAAATAACTAGCTATAAGAAGTTACTAGTAGTTTAAAGAACTTTATAGAAGTTTATAGAAGTTGCTAGTAGTCTAAAGAACTTTATAGAAGTTTGTAAAAGTCTAAGAAAGTTACTACTATATAGCTAGTAGCTAATCTATCTACTATAAGCCTTAGTAGCTAGCTATTAGCTTAGTAGTTTATAAGAGTCTATAGTATTCTATAATACTACAACGTTTCTATTAAAGTACTACAGCACTACTATACGCAATACTATAATACTATAATACTATAATATAATATATATAGTAGATATAACTATAACTAGTATAGAAGTTTATAAAGAGTTATAGAGCTTTACAAGACTTTATAAAGCTTTATAAAAGTTTTAGTGTAAGTATAAAGTAGGTAGAATATAGTAGGTAGGTTAGTAAGACGTAATTACGCTAAAGAGCTAAAATATTATCTTTTATAACGCTATACTTCTTTATTAATACTACGCGTAAATTAGACCTAATAAATATAATAGTATTAAGAAGAACTTACGCTTTCTATTACATCTAATACTATAATAAAGTAAGATAGTAGCGTTATAGTGCTAATAAGTAAACTTTACTAAAGTTATAATTTAAAATACCTATTTACTAAAAGTTCTGCTATTTTTTCTTAGACGCTTTGTAAAAGCCTTACTACAAGTATTATATAATTAGCTCTTATTAGCTAAGAAGTTTAGTTTATGCGCTAGCTCTATAATTAGCTAAGAAGTTTTTAGAAGCTGCAAGAACTTGTAAGCAAGGTTTTTTGCGGGGCGTCTAATTCATGAGATAACTCAATGCCCCAATCTGCCGCACGCGACGCGCCGCCATCGTCGAAGCATAGATCACAAAGCGAGATAACAGAATCGTGGTCGCAGCGAAGTGATATATCCCGGATTCCAACCGGAAAGTAGGTTAAGTAATGCTGAGCGAGCTAAGCTGTGTTCCGTTCCAAATCCAATCAAGTTATCCCTTGCAAGCCACATGCCCAGGTGTCGTCTAGGCCTCCAGCCGTGTGCATCACTAGATGACCATACGTGACATGGCCGCTGGTGATGTGCTGCGCCGCGCGAACTCGGGACCGTGTTTCTTCTATTTGTTAAGAGAATGAGTTTCGGAATCAGCATTGGAGATGTGCTCAAGCTGTGTGAGCTAGCTGGTAGAGTCTACAAGAACTGTCTGCTTTCCCCGCCACCCCGTCGCTCTCATTGTGCTAACTTCAACACAGGTCGCGACTGCTCCGGCGAATACAAGGATCTTACATCGCAAGCACGAACGTTAACGAACCTACTCGAGGACATTCAAGACAAGTACGATAAGATACCCGAGAGCAAGCGGCAGCAGCTCATCGACGCGTACGAACCGTGTATCGAAGTCCTCGAAGAGCTAGACAAGCTGGTGCTGCACTACAATGGGCTCGACACGAAAACCAAACGCGCTTGGGACCGGCTCAAGTACGACCCTGAGAAGTCACGAAACATACGAGAGCGCCTCATCGCGAGCGTATCGATGCTCAATTCCTTCTACACGTCCCTGATACACGATAGCCAGGTTCTTATACTAGAAGCTTTGGAAAGATTGGAGAAGGACTACAAAGGCGGTCATCGCGAAGAGAGCATTGCTTCCATCGGGAGACTCACGTCTGGAGGCACAGCCGACGATGACGACGATGATGAGGAGGCATGGAGCCAGATTCTCCGCGACCTCGAAGATGTGGGAGTATCACAACAGCAGGCTCTAAGCTACCGGGATGTCATCGTAGACTGGCTTGTCACAGCTGTCAACGAAGGGAGGCTTTTAGAGGAGCGGCCAGAGCATGATGGTCTAGCAACTATGTCTTCGGATCTCGGGACCACTCTTCCTGAATTTGACTTCGATCAACGACCGCATAGTGTTGATGTGCCAGCGATCGTCTCACCTGCGTACCGGGGCTCACACAGTCCTCCCACAGCGCTGCCTCTGGCGTCTAGCCCGCCAATAACGCAAAGGCAGCAGATCTATCTGACCCCTTCAGCAACTTCTAGAGCACATTCGACCACCTCCTTGCAACCGTCCCAACCTGCTGAGTTGGAGGCATCGCCGCTCTACGCGGAGCCACACCCAGCGTCCCAGCCTACTACTCCCATGGGCTCCAACAGCCATGCGATCAGACGCGTTCCGGTTCAACCCCCAAAAGCTACGGTTCCTGTCACGCCCACGTACAGTATCCCAATCGTAGCGCCTACTTCCCCGACTGGCTCTTCTTTACCAGAGCCTTCTTTTACAGCTAACATGGGAATGTCCGGTGCACCTCGGACGTATGATGAGAAAGAAACATTAGTTACGGTGGACCTCGAGTGGAACGCACAACAAATAGTTGCCGCGTGGACTCGAGGTGACTTTGTCACTGCAGAGAAGCTTCTTGAAGACCAGCTGGCAGCTGTCGAACGGGGACAAACATCTAGGTCTGGGACCCAGCCCGACCGACGTATTCTTAGGCATCTACTAGGAGTTTGTGCCTCCTACACTGGGAAATACGCCAGAGCAAAGTATTTGTTCGAAAGCGTGTTTAACGGAATTTACCTGAACCGTCAAAACCTGGACGATGGTGATATAGCTGCAGCACGGTGGCTAGGGGACGTCTGTCTGCATATTCAACAGCATACGAACGCCGCCCTTGCCTATTGCGTTGCATATGAAGGATCCATTGGTCGCCTGGGAGTGGCACGCGACCGTACCTCAAGGATAGCCGCCGAAATAAGGCTCGTCGATCACTGGCTATGGGTGTTCAAGAGAATCGAGGCAACCCTTGAGCTGAATATGGATCCAACCAATATCTTTACATCGACAAATGTCGTTGAAAAGAGCAATCTGATGATGGCAGTCAGAAACAATGTTTACGATATGCCCGGGATTGATGGTCGCGGTTCATTGCCACCGGCTGCCGGGATGCGTCCATCTCTGCACTTGAGCCCTCGACCACAATGTACTACAACGATCTCAGAAGGCTTCCTTCTAGGACCTCTGATATCTACAAGCACATGGCCACTGCCTTGGGATAACCTCTTTTGTCCTGTGGATGCGGTCCAGCTGGACCGCTGCATGGGCGTGATACCTATTGCAAATTTCATTGGCCAACCCCTGTCTGAGCGCCAGCTACCATCGAACTCACTAGGCGACTCGAAGAAGCTGCATTTTCTTACTAAGAGAGGCAGTCGATGGCTGATAGATGCCGTGAAACAAGGCCTCCGCGAGATGGGAATCGATTATGGCGAGCATAAGTATGAGCCTTCGATTGTGTGCCGCATCAATCAGCAGCGTGAGGGCGTGGTTTTCTCTGAAGGGATCGAGATCGGCTTCAGCAAGCTTCCATTTCGTGATGTCTATGGAATCAAGGTTTCGCATGTGAAGTGGGCGACGCGACGATTCCTATCATATGGCTCTCACGACACAGCCGATTTTAGGAACATTGTGAAGGCTTTTCTGGAGAGGGCGGAGGCGGAGGCAGACCTTCCGAAGTCGACGCACAATGTGCAAAATGGAAGTATGGGCGTACACCCGCAAGCGTCCCACGCATCGCCAGGCCTCAAGAGACCGTCTTACGCTTGAGTTGTGGCGAATGTTCTGCTTTCAGTACACATTGTTGGAACAACTCTGAGGGTGTTACCAGTCAACAGCGCGCTCTGAACTCTGCCGATCAATCCTGCGGCGTCAACAATGATTCCTAGGTTCCCTACATGAGCTTTGTGTTGGTCTCTGACATTTCAGCGCGCTTCATGGGAAACTGCATCACCTGGCGCTGATACTACATCGCCGTTGGATATGGTCCACGCGTTCTGAGCAACAGGTAGGGGTCCGCAGGCATCTGAGGTTGTGACACGCTGGGGCTACCCAGACATTTTTGATGTGTTGTTTTCTTTTGCTTTCTCTCGGAAATCAACAGCAGCTCTAGATCTCAGCCCCTGCATGATGTTACGAGGTTCGGGAACCGATGACAGCCATCCCAAAGGAAATCTCAGTGTAGTACAACGCGTAAACTTTGGGGGCTAGTCGCCTCAGAAAAGAATCGACATTATCATCGCAACCGTACTCGCTCATCTCGGACAACCACGACTTGAGACATCCATCCCGTCATTTGCGCCCAACGACCAAATTGTGTTTTGCGGTGGTGTCAACACTTTCAAGGGCCAAACCTCGCCGCAGTCTGGCGTCCTACATAGGCCCCAGGAGGCGGCGTGACTCTTGGCACTAGGGGCCGAGATTTGCACTGTGGGTGACTTTGCGAAATGACTGTCAGCCTGACCCGCCAAAGTTCCAACAGCCTCCTGAACCAAACTTCTACAGCCTTCCATGTTCGACGATCTGTAGCGCGCAAGCAAGGAGTGGATGTGTACATTCCTACTATCGGTGGACTGTATCATCAACCCCGCTGCTGACGTTCTACGGCGCCTTTATCTGCACATGGCCGATAACGAGATCGACCCGCAAGGCGCAAACTCGTTTAATTAAGGCTCCGTACCTGAATTAGTGTTGTCTGAGAAAAGCGCCATCCACTTGGGTAGCGGGTGAGCTTACCAGAACCCCGACTAGGGTCTCGCTAAATTAGTCGGTTTATGTTTCATGTTTCAGCGGCACAACCTCAACGATGCCTTGATTGGCCTGTGGTGCCTGATGCTGACAGCATCTTCGGAACCCAGCGTTACTGCTAGGAAACAGAACAGCGGGCTCGAACGCCGTACGATCGATGCAGGGAACGAAACCCGTAACGGCGGCAAAGCGGATGCGGACCCCAGGGATATCGATGTTTGCAGGAGTCAGGTGTAATGAGGATTCGGGGGATGTGCACCACTGGTCTAGGCTAAGCTCGTGAATCAAAAGCGTCGAGGCGCCGCCCTCGAATAGGCTTTCTTTCTTCACCTTCGACACACACGAGGATCTCTTCTTCAAAACCCGACTTTCTGTCTCTCCTTTCAAGGCGCTCGGCTGCCTATTCCATTCCTTCATTGTCGCTAGTCGGCATATTCATTCATTCACCTGTACATTGTGTCCCAGTGACCAAACAACGTCGTCCGTGTGTTATTCTATCACAATTATCTTCCCAGATAAACAATTACTCTACTTCGTATACGATCATCAACCAGTTACTTTCACCATGAAGACCCAATCTATGCTCCTCGCGGCCCTGGCGTCAGCCCCCGCTGCCCTTGCCCACACTGTCTTCACAGACTTCATGATCGATAGCATGCCTCAGGTTTGTTCTCCCAATCTTTCTAGATGCAGTCTACTAACAATAAGTAGGGTGATGGTGTCGCCATCCGTATGAACCCTAATGCTGCCAAGGCTAGCAGCCCTGTTCCCAGCCTCGACAGTGACGACATGGCCTGCAATGTCGGTGGTACAAAGGGTGTTTCTCGCGTCCAGCCCGCCAAGGATGGTTCCCTCATTACGTTCGAGATCCGCTCATGGCCCAACGACCCCACAAAGGAGCGTCTTGACCGCGGTCACGTAGGTCCCTGTGCCGTGTACCTGAAGAAAGTTGCCGATGCCAGCACTGACACGGCTGCTGGTGACGGTTGGTTCAAGATCTTTGACCACGGCTACGACTCGTCCACCGACCGATGGTGCACCGATGAGATCATTGACAACAATGGTCTCTTGTCAGTGAACCTCCCCAAGGGTCTTGAGGGCGGTGACTACCTTGCTCGTCCAGAGATCCTTGCTCTCCACGCCGCAAAGGACGGAGACCCACAGTTCTACACTGGCTGCGCCCAGATCTTCGTTGAGAGCAGCGGAAACCTCGTTCCCGAAAGCACTGTTTCCATTCCTGGCTACGTCAAGTACAACGAGCCATCCACCGACTTCGACATCTATAACAAGGATGCGAAGGACTACGTTATTCCAGGCCCCAAGGTCGCCAAGCTCACAGCCGGTGGCATGAAGAAGGCTTCGACCGTCCAAACCGCGGGCCTGAAGCCCGAAGGCTGCATCATGGAGAACGCCAACTGGTGCGGCAAGGAGGTCTCCTCGTACAGCACCGAGAAGGGCTGCTGGGCTTCCGCTACCGAGTGCTGGGACCAGGCCGATGTCTGCTACGACGAGGCCCCCGCAACCGGTAACGCAGGCTGCAAGCTCTGGCAGGAGAAGTGCAAGGACATCAACGCACAGTGCACGGCTATGAACTTCAACGGTCCCCCCAACAAGGGCAAGATCCTTACTCCCGAGAAGAAGAGCATCGATGTTGGCAAGATCATGGCTGTCAATGGTGGTGGTATCGTGGATGCGCCTGCACCCAAGACTAGCTCCACCAAGCAGTACGAGGCACCTGCGAAGGCATCCCCCAAGCCTGCAGCTGACAAGGCCACCCCTGCTGCGCCCAAGCCTACGGTCGATGAGTCGTACGAGAGCCCTCCCATTGTTGAGCAGCCCGTTGCTGCTGCTCCCAAGCCTACGCAGCAGCCTACGACGCTTTCCAAGGCACCCGTCTCCACCATCACTGTAGCCCCTTCGTCCGCCAACGCGCCTGCGCCTACCCAGCCGTCGTGCCCTGAGGGATACAAGTGTGTGTATGTCACTGATGTCGAGGTTGTCACCGAGACTGTCTACGTGACTGCTACATACGATGGGTACAGGAGGAGGCACATCATGTACCGCGCTTAGATGTACGGTACTGAGACGTGTTATGTGGAGTTAGAGGGAAAAGGACAAAACGATTACTTTCTGCGACGACGATCGCGAGCTGATAAGCTCTGTTTGGGATGAGGTTTGCTTTTTAGCTACGAATGACAAATGTTCACTTGTCGCAATCCTGAGAACTGAATGCGTGCCTATTTCTCTCCTTCGATTGTCCGCATCTTGACGCTTCCGTCCTCCATGCCGAAGTATACAGCGACGGGCTTTTGACCACCTCGTACGGTCTTGGTCAATTGATCCTGCTCACGAAGTTCCTGTGCATCGATTCCGTTCAGGCCGGAGAAGATGCCGACTTCCAATACACCAGTCAAGCCCTTGATCGCCTTGCTTATCGTGTTGACCTCCCATGTACCAT